TAAAGTGTTTATTTTTTGTTGGTGAGAAATGTATTGTAATTAAGCATAACTTGCATGAAATGCAAAATTATCTTTAATGATATTGTTTTCTTCACAGAGCATATATCAGTCTAGTCTGATTAAATAATTAACACTTGATTCTCCTATAAAGTATTGTAGTTATGCATTATTTAATCTTTTCATCTGCAGCTATGACGTGCTTTAGAAGATTAATTCACTTTCCAAATTTTTAGATTCTGCCATTTTAGAATATATATACCCATATACATTCATAAGCATGCATATGCATTCAAATGTCCTTGAATCCAAACATCTAACACAGTAATAGATGCCATAGAAATTTTAGAAAAAAATAACATGTATGTATATAGGTCATAGTTCTTGTCATATTAACACTTACCTAGCTCACAGAGTAACAAACTACAGTCCTTAGGCTAAATTCAGTCCTCTATTTAATAAAGTTTTATTTGAACCCAGCCACAACTGTTCATTCATCTAATTGTTTTATGGCTGCTTTTATGCTACAGTACTAGAGTTGAGTAGTTACCATGAAGAGCCTAAGGCCTGCAAAAGTCAAATTATCTACCATCTGGCCTTTTATAGAAAAGGCTCGGTAACCACTGCTTTAGCTGGAGAGACTAGTGCATACTGATATAAAACATATGAGTAAATGTGACAAACTAGGAAATAGGACAGCAAACAATAAATTGTCTAATTGACTTGTAAGGTCAATAATTATAACTAATGTTTAGTGATGGAAGAAATTAGCATTAGCTGGCTTCATTAGAAAATGTTTTTTTTTTTTTTTTATTTCAGCATATTACAGGGGTACAGATGTTTAGGTTACGTATGTTGCCCTACTCCCCCTCCCCCCCAAGTCCAAGTTTCAAGCGTGTCCATCTCTCGGATGGTGCGCATTGCACTCTTTGTGTGGGTTACGTGTGTTGCCCTACTCCCCCTCCCCCCCAAGTCCAAGTTTCAAGCGTGTCCATCTCTCGGATGGTGCGCATTGCACTCTTTGTGTATGTATATACCCATCCCCTTCTCCCCCTCCTCCTCCCCCCTCCCCCTGCCTGACATCCAATAGATATTATTCTTATATGTGCACTTATGTGTTGATCAGTTAATACCAATTTGATGGTGAGAAAATGTTTTATGGTGGAAAAATAAGCTGGGTTATAAAGGAAGATTAATGTAAAGGTAGTGATGATGGAATTCTAGGGGAAGCAAAGTACATAGTGTGGA